GTGTACTCCCACAGTTCACATTTAGAATTAAAGTGCCAAAACAGACCATTTACATGGATTTTAAGTGTCAAATTAGTTCCTAAATCTCTTCAATGTATAGGGACTAAATTGATTTTTATATTCTGGGAATAAAATGACCCTGAAAAAAAGACGGGATCATTTTAACACTTTTCTCTTTAGAACTATTACATATTTTGCACCAAATAATTTCGCTAAAAACTCACAGGCTTCTCATCAACAGCAAGAATGATATCACCCAGTAATATATTGCCTGTAAAACCTCTTCTTGTAGGAAGCAGACCTGCCTTTGCTGCAAGACTATTAGCAGTAACCTGAATGACAATTAAAAAAGAAAGCAAACTTACTTTGCAACGGTATTTTCCACCATCAACAGTGATAAAAATAAAAATAAAAAAAATGAAAAGCATTTAAATACATAATACAAAATTCATATGTATTTACTAATCTAAAAGCTAAATTTTCATAATTACACTGATAACATTAAAATCTTTAATATCACATCAAAATTATCCGTCACCCCCTTTAAAAGTGATGCATAATTTCATTCATAGATTTAAAACACCCAAGTGTCATGTACGTAAATATTAAGTTTAGGGTAAAATATGTAAATTCATATGAACTGTGTGCCACGTATGTAAATTTTCCCTGATAATAAAACATGGAAAGCAATTACAAGAGCCTTTAATAGACTTGTAGTGAAAACTACTAATATACCTGCAGCACCAAGGCTCCTTTCCTAACGTTTAATTGATTAGCAACAAGATCGGAAGCAACCTCAATATTTAAGCCAGCACGAACAGCCTTAAATTAAAAGAAAAAAATAGGATTAATAAGAACTATGTGAAGGTCAGTAATTTTGCTTGGTCCACAAGCACAGTAGCTAAAGCAAATAACAAAAAAGTTTCAGCCAATGTGCGTCACGGCCCATAAGCGATAACCTCGTGTGTTAAGTGGATTTGAGTAAATCTAAAGTTGCTTGATTGCATGAAAACGGTCAAGGCACTGCGTACTTGTGCAGGCTAATTTTTTCTCGACAACTTTAGCATAACATTCAAAAACGTATTGTTAGATATTAGTCTTTTTAATGGTAAATTTTAATTTACAAAATTTGTTGCTATTTGTTATTGTGAACTAGAATCAAAACAATATTTAAAGCTAACTATGTTTTAAACCATATATCATTAAAGGGAAACAGTGGTATTAAAAGTAAAGCTGCTGCAAGTTGAATAAATGAATTAAAAAAAAGTAATAACTCATCAAACATTCAATAAAAATGAAAGGATGATTCATACAGTTGAACACTACATAGTAGGGGACAAATCTAATGATGATTATAACTGAGAGAGAATCATTTATACTTGGTTGACTAAATGACATCAAATAAAAAGCCAAAATGACTTAGCAATAGAAAACCAAAAAACCTCATGATAAGTCACTTTTCCGCCTAGAAAATAGTGTTAAACTTGGTGGAATTTACGAGGAACTTCGAGGAAAAAAAACTATTTTTCTTATAAAACTAATACAGCGGATAACAAATATATATAAAGCTTAGACTAACCCTCATACAATTGGAGAGAAATTCAAATCATCATGATAAGAAGAAAATAAATAAAAATGCAATAATTGATAATTAAGGGACAATAATTTCTCCCCCTCACATGTAGTAGCAGGCACTCAATTTCCTAAACCGTAGACCAATGTGGTCCACGGTTACATGCATATTAACACTTCCCCAAACTTCCCATCAAATTGGGTTGTATATGTCATACATCCCAAACTTACAGCTGAGATCACTAAATGATTTCAAGAAAGAGCATTGGTAAGAATGTCAACAATCTGATATTGAATTTGGGATATAGTTTAGCTGGACAACACCTCAACTGACCTTCTCGGAGATAACGTGTATGTCAATCTCTATATATCTGATTCAATCATGATATACTGGACTTTTTGAAATATTGATGATCGATTGACTATCACAGAACATTTTAATAGTGCTTTTTTTTTCCATGTGTAATTCCACCAGTAAACTTTTTAGACACATCCCTTGACAAATTCCTAGGTCCATAGCACAATACTGAACTTATGCATACTTCTTGCCACCCCAATTTGTTTTTTATTTCTCCAAGTAACTAAGTTACCTCATACAAACGAACAACAACCCATGATAGATCTTCTGTTAGTCAGTTCTCTTGCCAAGCTAACATCAGTGTAGATCTCAATGTTAAGGTTTTCAGTTTTCTTGTATATCCACCTACATTCTAGAGTTATCTTTAGGTACCTCAAGGTTAGAAAGACCGCTCCTAAATTATCTTCATTTGGATCGTTCATATATTGCCTCACTAAACCCACAGGAAAAGCAATACCATGTCTTGTATGTAACAAATAAATAAGTTTCCCCACAAGCATTTGATACCTCCTTTTTTTCAACTGGGGTGTTATCTTCTTATTTTGATGGTCATCAATTGGGGTCCATAAGAGTATCTATTGTTTCGCACCCAGACATTCATGTCTCTCCTTTAATGATTCAAGGATATATTTTATCTAGGATATGACAATGCCTTCTTTGGATCTAGTTAATTTCATTCCCATGAAGTATCTTAAAGTTCCAAGATCTTTGATCTCAAACTCAGAAGTTATAATTTTTGTATTGTTTCAAGTTCCCAATAAGATAATATCATCTATATATATAATAAGGATGGTCACCATACCTTTCTTATTTGATTTCATAAGTAAAGTGTGATCAGTTTGACACTGATAGTACTCATTTGCAAGAATAGACTTGGTGAACCTTTCAAATCATGCTCAGGGTAATTGTTTTAACTCATACAATGATTTCTTTACTTTGTACACTAGCTGATTATTTGTGTTGTTCTTTAATACTAAAGAAATCTCCATATACACTTCTTTCTCAAGATCTCCATTAAGAAATATATGTTTTATGTCTAACTGATGTAAAGGCCAGCCCAAGTCAACAACGAATGATAAAATACTCGTATTGAGTTAAGTTTCACCACAATGCAAATGTCTCCTTGTAGTTGATCTCACAAGACTGAGTGAACCCTTTTGTTACAAGTCTAGCCTTGAACATTTTTAAGCTCCTATTTGCTTTGTATTTAAAATTGAATATCCATTTGCACCCTACGTTTCTTTTCGCATCTGACAGAGTGATTATGATCCATATACTATTATTTTCAAGGGCAAGAATCTCTCATTCCACAACTTTTTTCCAAGCAGGAATAAATAAAGCCATTTGGATTGAATTTGGGACCTGCACATTATTCAGGTTCTGAACAAAAAATTTGTAAGAGGAAGATAATTTTTCATATGTCACAATTTCTTCTATCGGGTGTTTTGTGCATTATTATGATTCTTCTTCCTCTTGGTTCTCATGATTTGTTGACCCAATATATGTATGAATACTTGGGGTGTGTGAAGTTGGTTCTAGCGATTTGCATTTCTGATTTTGCATATTATCCCTTACATGCTCACTAAGCTTTTTTTTTTCCGAAGTTCTTGGTTCTTGGTGGGAGCTGTGGAAGGATTTAATGGAATAGTAAGTTCCCGTTGAGATTGATTTGTGATAGTCGAGACAAGAGTGGGTTCATAAAAGATAAAAGGGAGGTGAGCTTGAGGTTTTTGAATTGTACCCCAAATCTGATGTTCTCTCTAACTCTCCTCCTGAATATTAGATTTGGGTAATATGATTAATTTTCAAAGAAGATGACATCCATGAAATTGTAAAGTTTTTATGCTTCTGGAGAGTAGCATTTAAACTTCTAAGTTTGGTCTTGATTTGATTGATGTGATGTAGATGAACAAAATCAATGCAACCAAAAATTTTTAGAGGTGGGTGAGGAGTGAAGGACTGAATGCGGGGGTATGATTTTATGAGGGTGTTGAGAGGTTTGTTAAAGTTTAGCACTATGTCGGGCATTCTATTTATGAGATAAGTAGATGTGAGAATTGCATCCCCTCATAAGTGTTTGGGTACATTGATAGTGAATAGAACTGAACGGTTGTTCACCTCGAGAAGATGTTTGTTCTTTTTCTCAGCCACATCATTTTGTTGGGGTGTGTCAACACAAGTACTTATATGAATAATTCAATTTTTGAATAAATAAGGGCCGAGAATGGAGTTGCAGTAGTCTTTTGCATTATCAATTTGAGAATTTAAATTCTGCTCTGATATTTAGGGAGGATCATGTTGTGAAAGGTTTCAAATATGTTAGTGTAATCATAAATGAAGATGACAACCCACCTACCTCCACTTATATTTTTTATTATTGAGGGCTCCTTGATTTCACTATGAACCATAAAGAAGGGATGAGTTGGTTTGTATTCTAAGCATGAGTAAACTTGTCAAGTATGTTTAGCAAGTTGACAAGTTTTGCACTGATAATAACTAGGCTTTTTGTTGATAAACAAGTTGTGATATGATTTTTTAATACAATAAAAATTAGGATACCTGAGGTGAAAATGTCATAATATAACTTGACTTATGACAAACAAACTCAAATACAAGACTTGACTCAAAGGATTATGAATGGTGGGACGGTCCTTTTGAAGTGGGAGTCCTAATAAGCAGATAAAATTTTTGATACTTTTCAACACTGACAATCACTCTTCTCGAGTCCATCAACTAAAATTCACACAAATTATGATAGAATTTAGTAACAAAATTCATAGCACGAATAAGTTTACTGATAGACAGTAAATTACAGTTAAGTTTAGGAACATAAAGTATGGATTAAAGTATAAGATCAATTGTGAATTTCACACTTCCTCTTCCTTCCACAGATGTGGGAGTTATATGTAATTCTAACTGCTACATGATGTTTGCAAGCATGGAAGGATTGAAAAGCAGTGATATCACCTTTTATGTAATCAAATGCTCCAAAGTCCATTATCTAAGATTGATTCTTCTTATTGAGAGCAACAAGAGCAGAAGGAAGATTATCTTGATGTGCTAGAACATTGGTGGAAGGCTCATAATATAGTCCTAGAAGCCTTTGGAGAGCTTCAAGTTATCCTTATTGAATAGAGCATGTTCATGAGCCTTGTCTTCATTTAATATTGTATTTGCTAGATTTTTCCCATCACCTTTGATTTTGTTGGGTTTTCAATATGCAAGTTTTCCATAAATTTTCGAACATTTCTACTTCAGATGACCAAGTATTTTTGCAATGTTCACACCACAGTTTGTTCCTCTTAGATTTGTTATCTTGTGATGATATATGAGTGCATAAAGCTGAGTTGTCAACATTTGATATAACAGGATTAGCTGCCATCATGAATTTATTCCTACTCTCTTCCCTTCGTATTTCAGCAAAGGATTCATGAATTGAGGAAAGAGGTTTGATTCTCATGATTCTTTCTCTGACTACATCCAGTTCCTTGTTGAGTCCCAGATGGAAGGTGAAGGTTCTCTTTTCTTCAACAATGGTTTTGTAAAGAAAAGAGTCCTATGAGTACCTCCATATGTGTGTTTCATACATATCAATATGGAGCCAATATATGGATAAAGTGTTCAAGTATTAAGTGGCATTCAGCTCACTTTATCTCAAGTCATGTAATTTAATTTTAGTGTCAAACTAACTCAAAGGTGTTGTCAACACTTGAATAGCTTCCCCTTGTGGTTGACGTGACATGACATAACCATGTGATCTTCAATCTTCCAAGTTCAATGCATAGGATTTGTAATTTCTGGTGTAGGATTTCCCTTGGTAAAATAATCATCTTTTCATTTATCATAGATGTGCATGAACACAGATTGAGACCAGTAGAGGAAATTATTGTCATGTTCTTTGTGATTGGTGATGCGGGAGGATATTTCAGATGCTACAGAATCAATTATATATTAGGTTTAGGTTCAGAAGTAACTTATAGAGAGGAATATGTAGCTTTCATGCCGTATTTGGTCATGATATGATTCCGACAGGAAGGAGGCTCGCTAGGGAGAAACAGTTGGCGGAAATGAAATTTCTTCTTTCTACCGGAGAGACAAACCGTCTATCGTCGACATAGGATTTTTATTAGAGAGAAAATTCTCAAGATTCCCGCCGAAGAAGAGATCGGTGGTTGGGAAGCGGGAGTAGCGTCCACAGGGACGAACACCTAGATTTAGTGGAGTAATGCCTGCAGGGAAGGACCATCAGCAGGGAGGAGATAGCAAGGAGAGAATCCGAAAGGAGGAAGGAGAGCTAAGATTTGTTTCCAAGCTCCGATGCCATGTGAAATTTCGGAGGAACTTTTTTAGAGGAAAAACTCTCTAATTTTCTCATTCAACTAATACAAGTAAATAACAAATATATATACAATTCAGACTAACCCTCGTACAATTAGAGAGAAATTCAAATCATCATGATAATTAGGAAATAAAAAAAAACACATTAATGGAAAATTAAGGAAGAATAATTTCTCCCTCTCAAATGTAGGGCCGGACCCACGGTTTTCTTGGTGAGCCCATATGGCCCACGGTTATATGCATATCAACAAACTTCATAACTTTTTTGCATCAATTGTGATCAAACTCAACTTAAATATTAAACCTAACTAGAACTTATTCATGACTTCAGCAACAGAAAACCAAAAAATCTCATAATGGAATGTCAACAAGAAAAAATTGGAAGATGTATGCGCAAACAGAACGTCATCAGAGACTTGTTACATGAACTAATTGAAATGTAACTTGTTCATGCTGAAAAAGCAAGTTATATTGTTTAGCATCTAGTTTGATAAGAATTAACGATAATTAGGAATCTACATTAATCCTAACCAGCTAAGCTTAAACAATCAGAATATGCTTGAGAGGAACAGAACATACTTTTCCAAATTTGATCAACTGAGGTACAATCTTAAGAACAGTTGATGATGGAATTGCAAAGCCTACTCCAGCAGATGTCCCTGAAAAGTTAAGGGAAAAAAATAAGTGCCCAAGTAAATGAGCAAAGGTAAATCCAGTTCGATAAAACCGACATAAAATGTGTCTCGTATCCCTTTGGCACTTACAAAATGTGGTTCAACACCACATGCGTAACAATAGATGACTGCATTCTAATGTTGTCAAAAGAAAATTTATAATGCAAAGAAATTATAGTTAATCACAATTGGTCATCAGTTGCTTTTCTGCAGTTCATGTCTTAACAAATCAACGTGATTGTTGAATCAGCAGATTCGTGATAATGCCATGCGCATGGGTTAACATAACTTATATTTTTATAAATAGAAAAGGCCAAAATGGTCCCCCAACAATTTGCATGGGGTAAAAATTATCTCATGACTATTTAATGATCCCTGGCAGGACTATTTTAATTCCGATTTCAAAATTCTATGGATTATTTTAACCTTAGGGTCCGTTTGGGGCAGCTTATAAGTGCGGGCGGTGTTTCAAAACGCCGCTGTACCATTTGGTTGGCGCGTTTCACCAGCTTATCTGAAACTGCATTTGAGTTTTTACACTAAACGCAGACCCCGGGTCGACCCCTGTGGTCTGCCCACGGGCCGCATTTCAGGATAAGCAGTTCATCCTGAAAGACACAAGCTGCATCAAACGGACCCTTAATCTAAATATTTTGTAGACTGAATTGGCCTTTTACATAAATAAATTGCAA